GAGAGCAGAGTTAAATTTCGCAATGTTGGCAAATTTATTATTAAAGTGTTCAGCTATTTCTGTGCCATTACCAATTATGTAATTATTGTCTTCAATATTACTGAAACTAGATTTATTTTTATGGACACCTAGCTCTGAGTTAACAACTGCCCATACAGCTTTACTTTTATCTATAGAGTTCTTAATGTAATTACTGTGAGATAGTCTCTTGGCTGAGTTACAAACACATTTGAACACCTTTTTATACCTCTTAACGTATTGAACAAAATGCTGGTCATTTGAATGTTTAGCTAACCTGCATAGTTCTCTTTTTCTAGCACTTGCCACCATCTTGGGTGATCCACTTTTTTGTTTTTACATTATTTTTACAATTTGCTTTAATGCTTTTTAAAGGGAAGCAATGTTGAAAATCCAACTTAAATTTTTGCAAGAAATTATCCAAATTTTGTTGGGCATCATTAAGTACAGTGACATTCCATGAGGATTCATTAAGCACTTCTAAAAACTTTAGCATGTTTCTTTTATTAAATATACGTTTTTTTAAACTATTGCTAGTGTTTAGCTCAGTTTTTAACCCACAATCATTTAAGATAAACAAGGCTCTATGGTCTGATAATCCTAATTCTATATTGCAATACTTTGAAAGGTCTCTTCCTCTATTAAAAAGTATGTTGTCTATATACACGTTTGAGATTTTTGATTTATTCTGGTTGTTTCATCTGAGTAGTACATATAGCTATGACTTATTATAACATTTAAAAAAGAGTTTTTATCTTGCTTGTTTTTACAATCATTCAGAACATCAACGTTGAAATCACCTGCTATATAAACAAATTTGCTTTTGGTTTCCTTTTTTAATAAAACAAAAAAATTGTTCTAACTTTTTTTAAAATAATTTAAAATTACTAGCATCTGGTACACGGTACAGTATATTGAAATGATGACTGATTTTGAACTTGGTATCTCAATACAACATCCCTCAAATACATTATCTACAAAATATACATTTAAATCATTTCTCTTCTTGACTACTATATCAGACCTAAATAAATACAGGATCCACCATGTATACCTTCTTTTCTACAGTAAAAAGCAGCTAAGCTAAAAGAATTTAAAGCATTAAGAACAGCTATTTGATCAGGTCTTAGCCAATGTTCTACGAGACATATAACATTTATATTTGTGTTCTCTAAAATAACATAAGATTGTTTGGAATCCCGCCTTGAATATTTAAGAGCATAATACTCTGAAAATCCTTATTTTCTAACTTATCTAGGTTGTTAGGTCGATAAGTGGGTGTTGACAGTTTAAAGTGAGAGGGGTCAGGATGGGATTGGAGTCAAGTTGGTATACATTTTCACTACAACTCGTTGCATGCCTTATCTCACTTAGATACCTGACCTATGTGTAAACACAATTGATTTAGACTGTACGTTATCAAACTTGTACTTTTGTATGAAATCCATACCAAACCTATAACTCATTTTAAAACACTTTCAAAAGTATAAGGTAAGTCTACAATTGTATGGACATGCTTAATAAAACCAATTACACAGAGTTCCCTATTAAAGATTTCATATTATAGCTTTTATTTATATTCACAAGTTACAAAATTTGTCAAACATATGCTTAAACTATCTGAAACTATTGGTTTGGAATATCCCAATCTTTGGTATGTCATAACAGTCAAAGTATTTATGCTAGAAGAATGGTTAAAATTGTGTTTCAATCAGGTTTTACCTTCAATATTTTTCCTTATAAAGAAAACAAGCTTAGTTTTGGACTCGCATGAATTCCAATCTTTTAGTTGCCAACGAGGAATTATCATACAAAATTTGTCATAGTCACGTGTCCATTTTATTTCCCTTCTCCAAAGGTCATTGACTTCAAGTTCGTGCTCACGAGATATCACTGCAGCTTTCAGTGTGTTAGCTACGAGAAAGTCCCCATTTTCTATTGTAAAACGAACATAGTAATCATGGTCGAGCTTACCAATTGGTGTTGCCAGAAAGTATACCTTGTAAGTATCTGTTGGCTGATCAAAAAACTTTAAAATCCAAAACAAATTGTCAAACAACCATACTGGAGTGTCTATCCGTAAACTAAAAAAATCTAATCCCTCTACAGATCTTTCTGTAATGATAGGAGCATTCCTATGATGTTCCTTGTAATGATCCAATACCTTCAAAACTGGCACTCTAACAGGACAGTCATGCACTTTACACATCGGTCTGTAACCACAAAACCTCTCATGATCATTACCTGGTTCAACAATTTCCTCACATCCATCTTGACTGTAGATACAATGGCGAGGCAGAGCTTCTAGTATATTTCTTAGACAAACTGGATATTCCTCTGTGAACGGCCCTTCACATGTAGGGCATTTACTTAGCTTGGTGGTACATGACAAACATACAATATGACCTCTAGAGCACAGTTTAAAAGGAACTTTTGCAGTTTCTAAACACACCGGGCACTCTACACATTTTTCAACTGTGGTTAAAATGGATTCAAAACTTTTAATTTTATCACTTGCCCCATCCATTTTTGCTACAATTTCAACATAAAATATATGATAAATCACACATAGTGGTTGTGGAGCACTTGACGGGTTTGGCTCAACTGTCAGATATTGTTGATAACCTATCTTCAAACTGACAATCTAGTAATGACTGTATCTCATATCTTGTGATTTATTATTATCACTTTGCTTATAGGTTTAAATAAGCTATTTGAATATCACCATTCTCAAATTGATTGATAAAACTTAAAAACTGTTAAATACACCAGACTCTTGATAACACAAAATTGGTGGGCCAATTAACTAGCTTTTATAAAGCAAGAAACCATTCCAATAACAAAGTTTATTTTTAAAATACTGTATTATGTACTTGAAGAGATAGTCTCTGGTAAAAACTGTGTGGGGCTGGACAAATCACCTATATTCACACTTGATTCTTCTGTCCAAGTGTTTACAGACGAAAGAATCAAGTGCGAATATAATATACACAATATGTATTGTGTAAGGTACAGAATGTTACAATTAAACAGCTTTTCCTGGTTACTTTACAACAAATAACAGATTATTTTTTTAGTTAGTTCAACCGAATTAAATTTAAAAATCTTGCGACATCAATGGCATTACATTTTAAGACAAACTACTGATCTAACACGATGTTTTCTTTTTTAAGAGGAGGAATCCCTCTTTTTGAATTATAGAGTATTTTTCTAATGAAACTTCAGATACTCTATGTTCCAAATCAGCCTGCCCTCTGCTTGGACTTTGAAATACTGTGCATCAAAATTAGTGATGTGCGTATCGATACAAGGACCGCAAAATATCGCCCGTATCGATACACCTATAGCCAATATCGTATTGTTTGTTTATTACCGTAATATAAATCTTATTTTTATGGTAAGAAATTTGTCTTTCCATCTTCCTCCCCTCAAAAGTAGTAGTGGAAATTTGATATTTTACCCTAGCATCTTCAAAAACACTGATAAAACATGTATTTTCAGCTATGTTTTGCAAATAACCTCAAAACTAGGGCCACCATTAATGGAAGTGGGGACCCTCGTTGTCCATATTATACTATTTAATGTGTAAGTGGCATACCTACCATCATTATTAGTACTTTTTGGTTCAATTAATTATCCCTGTGTAAAAACTAGGAAAAGAATAACAAAATGTTTTCCAACTTTGAGGGTTTACCGGAATTTGGAGGCTATGTAAGTTCATGTAGGTTTGATACAAATAAAAAGACACAGGAAGGAAACGGCTTTTCTGAGGTAAGATTACAAGCACTAACCCTCTTTACAAGCTTGTAAGTTAGTATTTGTCTATGCAGCTTGTATATTTGAGATATTTAATTTTTTTAAAAATTATAAATAAACAATACGATACAATATTTTATCCGATACAGATAAAAATCTATACATGAGGATGCGATACGATACACCACGTTCCGATACGTATCAATACGCAGTATCGATACATTGACCCGTATCGCCCATCACTAATCAAAATGAATGGCAAAACTTTGAAGATAAGATTCTCTGAGTGAGCTTTTATCGACTGTTGGCTATCATCTTGTCAAACACAGACAATGTGGATTCCAATTTACCGTTAAGCAGGTGAGCCTCTAACTTGGTAATCGGTAATCCTTACTATCCTGACATATCGCCACTGCCAAATCTACCCTTCCAAAATGCACCGTCATTGCGCCAATGCGGCATTTCTTCAATTTCAGAATATACTTCAACATTAGTTTCTCCCTTCATTATCGGGTTAGGTTGGGTTATAATATTCCATCTTCTGCTTGATTGCCCGGCTACCTGGGGTAGCGTTGGCATAATCCCGGTCCGTGCCAGGCTGACCCTTTTCAAACCACTGGCGCAATCCCGGTCTACCCTTTTAGCCTCAAGCATTGCACAGCCAGAGGTTTCAGGAGTTTTCAAGCAATATTCACCCAGGTTTGTGGTGTCCATATTTCATGTCCAAAGCTGTCTTGACTAATACCATCGACTAACCAACAAAAGAAGACTTCTCATTGTACTATTTGCTTAAAGGAGATTTTAAATGACTGAAATAACAAAAAAACAAATCGTAAACAAAAAAAATCCTTCACAATGCACTGAACAGAACTGACAATAAAATTGGCTTCAGCTGTTCCATAAGGATGAGAAATCTACTACTTATGCTAATACTGATTCAAAACTTTCAATAAAACTAATTATTTGGAGATCTGCAAAGAAACAGTTAATAAAGAAACAATAATTAGCGCACTTTCAGGTATCAGTAATTCTGTGGGGCTTATTTAAACTGAGAAAATCAAAAACACCAGCCTAACTCAACATGCCAAATAATGGTAAAAAAAATGAGTACACAAAAATGTTTGAAATCATTGTAAGTGAACATTAGTTAAATCACACGATTATTTTTGTTCAACTCGGGGAATTTGGTGTGAAATAAATTTCAGAACACAAGTTGCTTTCAGTCCACTATTATTTGATAGATTCATCTATTACACTGAAACATTATGATACACACAATGTATACATCAAAGTCTGAAGCTAGTAATAGAGGTGTTAACTTACGACTTAGCTAAGACATATATTTTTGATAATTGCTTTAGCTTCGGAACATGACACGGACATAGGGGAAGTTCAAAGTAAAAGGTTATGTCATTAGGGTTGGTGAGATTTTTAACTTTCCTGGTGGAATTACAGTAGTTAAATAAACATATTATGTTCACCCTAGGTGAGTATATCTAAAGGGTTCCAAAGACAAACTTCAAAAGCACCCAAATAAATAGTATAACGTACAACACTGAATATTTCAATAGTTAATTTACATCACTTTTACAAAAATACTTGGAAATCTATTCACCTTATAAATAACAGTCATCACAGTCATGGGACTTTAGGATGAGCCGAAACTAAACCTGAGAAAGTTACTAAAACCTGAGAAGAAAAAAACTACATAAAAATTGCATTAAAATAAACTATCTTACTTCCAGAAACCAGAAATGGAGATACGCAATTTCAAAATGTTATCATTACATAAAAAAAAAACATTTCATGAGGACATATATGCCATTTGACATAACACTATTTTTTCAACATTATTTACGATCTACACAGATCTAGATCTAACAAACAAAAAACAACTTGAGTAAAAAATTCAAACAATTAAGAACCCTCCATTCCTGGTAAAAAAATGCAAAAAAGCGAGCCCATCCCCAAAGTTGCAGCAGCCTTGCACTAAACCTACAATCAACCCTAATCAGTTATTTACATCATTTTACAATACACCTTATCATTTAACAGTTGGCCACTTGCAGCTGCATATTTACAACGTAACAGTAATCTAAACAAGAAAACTAGGTGTCAAGGACTGAAACAAAATAATCAAATATCTTTTTGCAAATTAAAACTGCATACAACATTTTAAAATAGAAAACATTGATATTGGTTCGATGAACTCTTTCAGTACTAAGCATTTTAAATGTAATTCATGAGTTTTGATCCCTTCAATGGTTTTGAATTGTTGGTTTTACAATGTGGTAAACAAGAATAAAACTAAAGGCTATCATAATTTTGTCCACTAAAAGATGGCAGATGACCAATTTGCATAGTAAAACAATGTTCAAATACTAGGCCTGCACTATTTAACAATACCATTGCAACAAAGATATTGAAACAAAAATAGTAATTTTCATTATCGAGACCTGCCTAGGTGATAAATTATAGATACTTCATAAACAATTTTGATGGAAAAATATTTGGCTTAGAACTGAAAAGAGTTCAAACACTTGAATTTTTAAATATTCTTGCTGACGATTATGATCTTAGCTTGGCAAGATGACCAATGGAATGTAGCTACCAAAAATTTTAACAATGTATTATTGTATTTTAAACACTGAAAATAAACCAAAGAACTATAAGATGCATTCTTTTGCATTTAAAAATCAGCCTTGTGATCACTAAAAATCTCAACATCATTCTAGCAATATTAAAAACATTACATACTTTCTAAAATTTAGATGCAAATTGTTTCAGAAACATTAATTAAAATTAGGGTACACATAATATAAAACAATTATATACTTATTAGCAAAGGAAAAAGTAATTTTATGATTAATTAAATTATAAAACGATCCCATCTAACCACAAAGTGAACAGTTTAAAACAATTAAAAGCACCCAAAGTCTAAATGTGCACACTCAGCACTCATTCATATTGAACAACACAAAAACCTATGTGAATAATGATTTAAAACAAGGGTGAATAAAGTAGTAGTAGTAGTAGTAGTAGTAGTAGTAGTAGTAGTAGTAGTAGTAGTAGTAGTAGTAGTAGTAGTAGTAGTAGTAAATAAAGTATGTCATATTTTAAGGAAAAAATATTTAAAAACATCATTGCTTAAAGTATTTAAGGACAGCACCATTTAAAATATCCCATAAAATCTATTATTATAAGCATTACAAATTGTGGATTCTACAAGTGAGTTATTAGTAAAACTATTAAAACTAACCAAAACAGCAGCAAAAACCTGAAAAGGGTTTCAACCTTTTCAACATTTCTGACATTCGCCCATGACTGAGCCAGTATAAAACTTCGCCTAAATAGAGAAAGCTAACTGTTTCTATTATTGACATGTTTCTGTTTATTTACACAGTACCTAACAATCACATAAAACATCATGGTTCAACGGTATATATTGCATTTAACTACGATAACATGCAGCTTAACAGGATATCTATATGCCGCTACCGGCTTCATGAAAATAGTTGCTATATTAATAAATTATAGCATGACTGTACCAATATGTTAATAATACTGATTTATTGTTACGTTACTTTAAAATCACTACAATATTATGTTTAGGTGATGAAATCCCAAGAAAAACAGATTAATTTTAGGACAGAAAAAGGTTTAGTAGGTTTAGTTTAATAACATTACCAAAGATAAAAAGTGAAAACCTACCAACACACAGGTAGATTAAAATTAATATTTCTTATCAAAAAACATAGTAGAAAACAGTAGTAGAGACTATGTGCTTAAACATTGTTTTGAAGAAACATGACTGCAACAGTTTAATAATATATTTGAACTCTTTCTAGATTCTAGTTATAAATAAAAACTAAGATCGGTTGAACTCTTTTTAAATAAAACTTTTGTGTCATTCCTAATTGACCTTAACAAACACATTCTTAAATAGATACAGTAGTTTGAAAACACAAATTTTAACATTAGGATAAACAAGTGAAAGACTTCCTCAAATTTGTACTAGAAATAGTTATTTACAAAAAACTTAACACAATCTTCCAATTCCAATCATATAAAATGTCAAAATGCTAAAACTGCAATTTTTAAGCAAGGCCAAATCTGTAAAATGTAATTTTATATTCGGGCTTTAATCCATCAATGACCAAGATTAAGTTTCCGTCATAGTTCCTGAACAGTATTGTGTTTTGTGGCCATAAAATTCACTCAAATCTTTAGTGATACCTAATTTAGTTACAATAAAGTATGGAAAATTGATCAATTCATGCGAAAGGTTAACATTTTAATAAGTTAAAGAACCAAAATGAATCTTGACAAAAAATTTGACACCGACAAACTACGATGTTGGCTTAGCAGTTTTAAATGTATGGTAAAACTGTAAATGTAAATGATCAAATTAGACACATTAAATTCATACTTTCAATTTATGTAGCTTCAACGAGTTGAAAAAATACAAGGACTGTCCAGAAAGTAACAGATGTTTCGCATCTATTCCGCTAGAGGCGGCTCTACTGCCACCGTCTTAGTGCGTTCCTACACTCAGTATGCATCCAGCCATAGGGGCATGCGAATAATATCTCGTACATTGTCTGAAGTGAAGTGTTAAATTGTTATTGGAAATCCTGCGAGTTGTACTGTGATAAGTTTTTTGTTGAAAAATCCAAAGCAAATGGAAATAAATCAGCAGATTTGTGATATTCATAACAAAGTAGTTGTAATTAAAGGCTGTGTAAGAAAATGGAGAATTAATGTTAAAATTATCCAAACAAATGTTCACAATCATGACCAGTGTTAGGCCTATTCTATTGGCTGTTGAACTGATAGGGAGTCAACAACCAAAATTTGTGAAAATCAGGGTTTCACAATTATATTTACAATAACATTTTCCCTTAATTTCACGGAGCTTGGTTCATAAAATTGCATAAAAAACTTGGTCCACAGAAATTTGGTTTCTAATGGATTCTAAAGTTTTGATCGATAAAAAAACTGAGACTTGCGACGAAGAGTAAAAAAGGTTTTAATTAATTTTTAAAGCACGACTTTAATTCAATGCACGAATAATCACTAGGCTCATTACTCCTTTACCATAAAAATCCCAAACCTGGCGATAAATTACAATTGGTGTGTGAAATTTTGCGAACAAAAATCTGATTACACAGCTCATTTACAATTATTGGCGGGACAGTCTGCAAAGACAGCACTGTTGTTACACTTCACATCAGACAACTATTGATAAAACAATTCTGTTGCTGTAGTTGGATGTATACCGGGTGTAGAAACACTCTGATACTAGGATGGCGGAAAAAGCATCGAACCGTGCAGCGTCATTGCAAAATGTATGTTCATTTTGGGGCGGCCCTCTTAGTTTCACTTCAATGTAAGAAACTTATTCAACATGTATTTGAAAACAATTTTATAACTATTGAAAATCCAAAAAAATATTTTTTTCAAGGGTAAAATAATTAGTTCACTCAGTATTTACGGTGTATAAAAATGGTTTAGTTCAGTATAACAATTCATATTGTTTGAATAACTACAATATGTACATTATTCATTTTTTAAATATTGCAACAAACAACAAATGTCAAATTGTGACTTAGCCACAGTGCAATTATTTTAGCGGCACCGTGAATATCCAATAAATAGTTTACAAAAACTGGTAATAAATATTCAAAAATTCCTCTTTAAACTTGAAAACAAGTTTTTTAAGCCAATTAAACATGAAAGTTTGAAAAAAACAAAATTACTAAGGATATTAAGTCTTATATTAATATTAGTAAAGCTAATTATTTAAAGATTACATTTCCTTCATGGTAATGAAATTTAATGACAAATATTTAAGAATCCTTATACGGGGTTTTTAAGTGGGATAACCTTAAGTAGATAATAGTTTTACATTTGTCATCATTCCAGTGTTTTCATTTTTTTATGAGGTCAAATTATAAGTTTACATTGACAAAATCAGTATCGAGGAACCTAAACAGTTGTTTCATTGCATTCATAATCATAATGTCAAAAAAAGGTGTGGTCAAATTTTCACTGTGATACGTGCCGCAACCTAAACCATGTTAAAAGCACAACCAAGACCTAACATTACTGAAAAGATTATACAGTGATAGACCCAAGTCTCAAGTTACAAACTCATGATGTGATCACAATTGATCTAATATCAACTACTAACGTCAACAAGTTTTAAAACTTAACATAACTTTATAGTATGAATACTTTTACTCTGCAACTGACATGATACAAAAATGTTTTTATGTGCACCTACCATGTTTGCACCAACCAACTGACCTAAGTACATAACAGCATCTCTGCTAGGGAGTACAATATAAAAAATATACTCTAAAACACTAAAAATACAGATCTAAAAGCAACAGTTTTGATATCGGGTCAACATACTTAAAGCTTAAAGAATGGTTTATATCTTTCCGAACAGATTGTTTAAAGACTTAAACTTTAACGACTTCTTTATATGTAAGCCAACTCTTCAAAAATTCAATAATATAAGGAGTTTCACGTCAAAATATTTTAGTACCAATTTTCTCTTAGAAATAAACAACCCCAAAAAAATGTAAAACATTAAATAAGTAAACGATAAAACAACAATTAATTATTAATTGATAACGATGATCAGTCGTTGACCCAACATTTAAAGCCTGCTCACATAACTTAGTAGACTAAATACACTTTAAGTGCATGCGTCAAAATTATAAATTAGACATTTATCACAACAAAAACAATGTCAAACACTTAACAAGAGTATTAAGGAAACAATTAAAAAATAACACTTAGAATAAATTAAAACTGCAGCTTTGAAATTAAAAATTTAAATAACCTTCAAAATCTCATTTTTGAAAATGACTTTGTAAAAAGCGCAATAAAACTAAACAAACCCTAAGGCAAACACCGATTAGGAGATGATCACATACTCTTCCATAAACCTAGTAGAGGACTAGAGATTACGAGTAGACTAAAAAATTTACGACTTACACAAGCCTCCAAATTGCTTACTCAATATTCGAAAAAGATGGCATATGGAATCAAAGATAGATCATCTGTCATTTTAATGTCAAACGTTTTGACAAGTTTTTAACACAACAAAAACTGGGTTTGTAAAATATAACCGGTAATAAAAAGTTGTAAAAAATTGCTGAAATCATTCATGTGACAAAATTAGTTTTTTTATAACCCTTTGAGGTTGAAAGATATAAACAACATGGACATATGAGTGCTGAAAGATGTTTTAGAAGTAGTTTTTAACCAAACATAGATTGTTCTATTGTAACATTTGAACATTTAACTTAATTTCTAAATACATTTGAAGTTTTAAAACATTTTGATTAGATGCATTGTTAAAAAATTAAAAATTACCAAAACATTCTTGCGACACATACCATTCAACCTCAAATGGATAAGTTGTACCATTGAAACTAATTAAATAAGTACTTGTCACCTTTAAAAACAACAAAAAAACTTACTTGCAAATGCAATTGAAGTTGAGAATGCTTTGTACAGTAAACCCCATTCTAACCAAACCCCAAATCGAAGCCATAATAAAATATTAAAATCCATTGGAAAGGAAAATAAGCTAGACAACAGGATTTGTCTGTTGTAGAGCGGGTAGTTGGCAGCTGGGAAAATAAAATAGTAGATTTTAAGATGACAATTGAAACAATGTAAAAATTGAATGTTGTAACGTAATGAAATAAAGTTGAATGTTGAATCGCTTAGGATTAAAATACTTCTTATATTAAAAACACTCAATAACTGAAAAATGAGTTATCCAAACCGGCCTTGCCTCTTTTTGGTTGGTTAGGGTTTTACTGTATTTTCGTAAATAAAACAAACCAGAATCGACAGTTGATTTTCAAAATTCGAATCCGATCTCCCAGAATCCCTCCTCAAATAAGTTTTGATTTTACCCTCAGTTACTCTCTCCTGGTTCGCTTGGGTCGTGTGCCCAATCCTTGCTCCTCCCTCACCTTCTTACCTACCTGCACCTGTGACTGAGCCGTCAGTTGCAGACTGATGGCGTGAGTGTTCAGTTTCTCCGCCAACAGAAGATCCTTCAGTCCTCTCATCTTCTCACTGTGCAACACCAGTTTCGGCTGAGTGGTTTCCGTTTTCAAAAGATCGACATTAGATGAGGATGCCAGTTCGGCGCCGCCCACAAACGGTTCTCCACCGCCCTGAATGAGAAAGTCTCGGTTGAGAATTCTCTCGCCGCACGCAGCAGTCAGAGCTTCGATGCTCGGGTGAAGTGCGGCTTGTTTGTCTTTGACTTTGGACTCCAGCGAGGAGATCAGATCGCCTTCACGGGTTTTACAACAGTCGTTATTGTTGTTGATCACGTCACCACCCTCTTTTCCGTCCTTTTCTGACCCTTCAAGTAGACCGCCTGGTAAAATAACCACTTGTGATCTCACCTGAAAAATTCAATGAAAATTGAAATTATAAATAAAAATAAGGTAGTGAAGGTTTGTGGGTTTACAGTAAGCCATTATGTTGGAGATGAAACATTTTTGTCTCTTTTAATTATTTTGTTTGAAAATAAAAACAGTTTCAATTAATGTGTGGTTTTGATTTGATTCACATCTCATTCTTAAGTTTAAAACAACCAAACATATATCTGACAATCAATACAGTAGTAATTTTAATTCATTTTGGAACAATTGAACTTTTAATCTGTTTATCATATATATTTCTCACATGACCCACATTAAATTCAAAACTTGTGGAGTATTAATTTCCACTCAGGATATATCAATTAATTATGAACAAATCAAAATCTCTAACAATAGTAACACTATTGAAATTTACTGTCTAGATTTCCCATTAAATAATATTATGTTATAAATATCCTCAATTAGATATGGGAAGACTTTTTAAGGGAAGAACAGGAAATAAAAACATCTAGAGGGGCCAAAAATATTCAAGGAAAGTTTTATAAGTATTGTTGGCTATGCATCAAACATATAGCAGCATGTGATAAGTTAGGACTACAAAAAATTGCATCCTTTAAAACTTACTAAGAACTACCGAGGCGATTATCAAAGGTTTTTTCTATTTTTGAAAACATCTGAGGAGATTTCTTTACCTCTGCATCAAATTTAGAGATAGTGTTGACGAGGGGTTTTGCCCAGCCGATGTGCAACACTGGGGTTGGGCTACCTTCCTCCCACTGGCAGATGCCGTCGTAGAACCGCAGCAGATACGCAAAACACTCGGGATCTTTAAGGATCGACCGAGCACTGTGGCCGGAGCTCACCACCTTCATTATGTGAGGAATCAACTCGTTAGCGATCTCCATTAACTCCTTGTAAATCTCTTCGTCATCTCGGGAATAGTTGTAACTGGGGAAAAACATTACTGTTACACCACTTTGGTAAAATTAATCTATTTAAGCACTATGACAATGGAGGATATTGAGATTCATCCCCCGACAATGAAAAAGATCTGTTATTTACATCCACTGTTTTCCTAAGAAAATACTTTATTTTTATAACCAAGGAGTAAGAGTTCAAGTGAAGTTTTCTTAATGTCTTATGTTTCATAGTTTGTTTACTTATATTTAACATCGATGTGAAAATACTGTTTTATTTATTATTTGAAATTTATATTGGTGGGAGAATTCAGGCAACAATTCAGAAATCATACCCTTAGGAGGTACACTGATGCGCCAGAGAAAGAGGTGTCGTGGACTGAACCAGGTGGATTAGGTACATTCCCCTGTTAGAATCCTGGCTAGAATCAGGGCTGGATTGGGTGCTTTTGGCAAGACCAGATCCAAGTTTGGAGGACAAGATAGATCTTTTAGGTTGCAATATAATCCTTTCCCAATACACATCAATATTCAGATTAATGATTCTCTGTATACTCACAGGCGGATGACGTCACTGGCGTTGGCCCAACTCTCAAAGGCCTCCTTGTACATGTTATGGCGGTAGAAGTAGCCCGCCTGGTAAGTGTACGGGTAGACATGTTGGTTGTTGTAGTATTTGCGAGCAGACAAGATGGCTTCTTGGAACAGCGACGAGCACGGGGGACGTCCCTGCGTTGGATTGATCTCCTCCAGGTCAGCCAGGTTGCCTAAAAATAGAACACCTTTCATATAGCGTAAGCTAGTTTGACTATAACCTACAAACAACATTCATATAGAATCAAGATTTATTTCCAATAAATAATAGACATATTTAGCCTTGGAGAAGTCAACATTTTACTTGCAGATCAAGTATGTTACAATGTACATTGAAGTCTAATAAAAAACATGGTTAGTTGATAGGCCTAAAACTAATATCACAGTTATCAAAATTTGAAAAGTAAATAAAATGCACAACATTTCAATCAAAAAAAGGAAGCAAAACAACATAAAATATTGCAAAAAACACCAACTTGAGGGTAAAACTTATAATACAAAGCGATTGATGGACAGCAGTTTGACTGAAGGGTTTTGGAATCGAAGTAATCTGTTTTATTATTCACTACTATGCTTTAATTTTAATTTCTTTAATTTTATCTACCTATATGTAGCATTGTAAAAATATCTAGAATTAATTACAAATGGTTCTGCAAATAAAATTACCTGATTCAGCAAAAATACACCATTATTGTGACGTTACACCATTTTGTACTTATTAGTCGCAATCAAGAAGGACAGAGAGAAATATTTTTAGATACCATATGCATTTATTATTGGTGTGGACTATCAAGTTGGTATAATCATTTAAAAATAGCAACCTCTTTGTGGAACAACTGGTATATATTGTTTTTCACACCATTCTTCTACGCTTTTTTTAAAAATCTGTAGAATAGTAAAGCTACCTATGGCGATCGGGAACTGTGCCAAGTGCCCGAGGTCGTACAACACCCACAACAACTCCTGTTGCAGTAGCGCCACCTCGACAACATCGTTGGTGATACTGAGCGACGGGTTGATGGTAGACACCAGTGCTGCCACCTCCATCCACCGGTCACAGATGATGGGGTAGCCGTTGACGTAGAGCCACGAGTGAGAACCGACCCCGGGCGTGACCTCTTGACCTCGCTTGTCCTCACTACCCTTGCCTATGACAGTGGCAAACATAGCTTAGTACACTTGACAAGAGGTTAAACATCTAGAGTACTATTAGGTACCTATTTTATTATATTCATATTATAGCATAAAATATTGCAGTATTAAAGAAGTTTTGTCAAAATAGAACGTGAATGTAACCCCAATTAACCTAAATACGTGCAAACCACAACAAAAATACGAAGGCAAGACTATTTCAGATCATCTATTTTATATTTCAGTAGAGTCCCGCAAACTCGGCACTCGATAACCCGGCAGTCTGGATAACTCGGCCATCACCTGGCTCAGATAATTAGTGATTTTTAGAGGCGGTTCACGAGTCACGGGTTATCCTTAGTTCGAGCGCAAAATCCAGTTATATCCGGTTTTTTGCGCCGCGGCTTGGAAATCGGCTTCACGAGTACGAGGTTACCCGCGCTCGGGCGCAGACGGATAATCTTCACCCAATTATGACAGGGATAAACCCGAGCGCAAAAAGTCGGCTTCACGGGTTTAACAGCAATGTTGCAGAAGTTTGAAGTTTAAAACGCTGTAAATTTTGGGGAAAAAGCTTGAAATTCAATAATAATTTTAAAATTGACATAAAAACTGCGCAAGATATGTTTTATACTTTAAATCCTAAACATTTAATTGAACTTTACCAATCTGTAACATTTTTGGTCAGAGATAAAAGTCTTGTTTTGTGAACATTTTTAATTATATTACTCTTTCAACAATTCTAAATATTCATGTGTTATATAGAAGTATAATGTAAACCTATATGCAAAAGTAATATATATGTTTTGTGTCATTTAGTAAGTTTGAAATGAGAGTAATAGTTATCACTGATTAAGACCACTTGTGTAAGCACAGATGGACTAGACCTATTATAATTCCAGAAGTAAGACTGTTTCAGAAATTCAGCCAGCGTAGCTTTGTAGGTAACAAGCGAATTATCATGTGTTTTATTACATAGCTAACAGTGGATAAGAAACTGTGTTTGGATTAGCAAGGCCAATTCTGGACCCAGAAAACATCTATCATTGGGCTATCAATTAATGAGGATACAAATATCAATACCCCCGCCGCAGCAAACCTGCAGACTAAGTGAATTTCCATTTGCCTGATTTGATTTTCAATTGAAAAGCCACAACCAGGACTGGGAACGGCCAATGCACTGAGTGCCGTTGAGTCCAAAAAATATCTTTTCCTACAGTTACCTAACAATGAACATGTTCTCTCACTGATTTGAGAAAGCAAAGTGGCCAATTCACTCATCAGTGAGAATAAACCCCAAGTAAAAAGAGTGGTCTTAGGAGTTACTTGAGAAATGTGATTAAAATTTAGATCTAAAAAGTTTGCTTTTACACTATTTTTAAACTTTAATTTGCTTTAAATGTCAATTTATATGTTGTTGCTTTGTCTTTTAAATTTAAATAGGCTTTACTACTGTGGTCACATAATATGAATGGCATAATATGAATAATTTTAACTGTTAAAATGTACTCCACAATCTGAAAAAAATTGGTTGATTTGGGCAGAACTCCTAGACCCCCTATTTTTTCCAGATTTCCCCCCCCCCAAAAAAATTGGTTTTCCCGGTCTTGATTTCTAGTCCCCAAGTGTACCTTCTACTAAGTGTCCGGTAACTCCATATTTTCGGGTTTGGTCAGACCAATGGTTGGCACGGGAGATTCGTACGGGCAGAAAATTATTGACGGCCCAAGCTTGGATTGAGTCGAGCCCAACCGATCGCACAAATTTTTGATTTTTGATGTTTAAACCTCGGAAATGCTCATGATTTCACTATGACTACTGAAGATGTTCTCAATTTTACAATGACTACAGAATATGTATACGATTTTGCCGTGATCAAGGATGATGTAGTTGATGACAGACTGCGGAAGAAGTTCATTATTTGACTATGACTGCTGAAGATGATATCAAATTTGCCGTGACCGCAGAATATGTTCTTTATTTTACAGTGGCCACGGAAGATGGTTACGGTTTCGCCGAGCTCGTTGATTATGTTCATGATTTCACTGTGACTGCGAAATATATTCTCCATCTTGCCGTGACTGGTGACAGTGTTCTCAATTTTAACGTGACCTCGAAAGACGTTCATGATTTTGCCATGACAACTGAAGATCTCCTGTAGGCCTACATGTAAGGAAAATAAAGATGTTTTGGATTTGAATTTATCTACTTTTCAGTGACCGCAGTTAACATGTTCTTGATCTTGCTGTGAACGCGTAAGACGTTCTTGATATTGCCCTGGCCACGGAAGATGTTTTTGATATTACCACGACCGCAGAAGATGTTTTTGAAGTTGCCATGACCGCGGTACATATTCTTGATTTTGCTGTGTTCGCCCGCAGATGACAATCGCAATCCACCGTGACAGCAGCCTTAAACAGGTTTTCCCTGTGTGAGTACAAAAGTCCCACATAGTTCCTGATTTAAAAATTTACGCAAACCCAGAATTCTCAGTCTGTATGGTCACCCTGATAGGGTCTCAAAGGGGGGGGGGGGGCTCGAGCCCCCTCTTGCCTATATGGATGGACGCTCATGTGTAGCAGGACCGACACAAGCATTCAATTTTTATACATTAAACTTACTGATTAAATAATCCGAAAATTTAAAACTAATCCTTAAGCCTGCAATTTAATAATAACTTCTTAAAAATAGTGAAATGTCGAAACCAAAATTTATCCAATCTCTGTACAGACACCTAAAAAATAGATTCTTAATACTGATAATTACAATTTTACCAAATATTTGAAGTATTACAACACCAACCCATGTCTTTAAAAATGAACTTTCATATAGTATCGGTATGTAATTTTGGAGTTATAGGTCGTTTTTCAAGTGGTCTAAAGAAATAATAATGCAGAAATTACAAAAATTGCACGTAGACAATTTAAGCTTTAAACCCTTCTAAACACATTAAATAAATACCACGTTGAAGGTAAATGAAGACATTAAAAAAAATATATAAATAAAACTTTCTAGAAGTGTGCCATTTTGAAATTGTTGGTCAAGTCATCGTCGTCTCCCGCGGTCACGGAAACATCATCGTCGTCACCTGCGGTCACGGAAACATCATCGTCGTCCAGTGGCGTACCAACGGGGGGGCAGCGGTGGCGGTCCGCCCCAGGCCCCATTCCAGGCTTCCAAATCAGGATCGTATTCCCCTAACATTGAACACGGCGATTGCCGAGGGCCTCTCGGCATTGACTATATAACACTACTAGATTGAAAGCCCCATGCATTTGGTTGTGAACAAGCAATCAGCACACTCTGGCGGGAAGGGGCGATCATAGCGCTGACGTCACTGACCAGTAGGTGCTGCCACGATGTGGCGGGCAATGAAAACATAGTGCTGTCTGCTGTTACGACGCAATGTACAGACAGCCGACAGCTGAGCCATGCTACCCGCGCCGACTCGGAGATCTCTAAATACCCGCGACAGGTTTTAGAATCGCAGCTTCAAAAATTGTGTCGCGCGTGGTTCAAGTTCTATTGGATCAAATGGGCACGTTTATGCACCGCGACAGTAGTATTTTTCATACTCCACGTGGTATATTCTCCATATATTTATATTGATTAATGTTAATAATTAGTATATAAATGAGCTCTTTACCCTTTATTTGTAATATAAATTAAATCATTATATTATGTAATGAAATCTTTAAGAGGGTTGACCCAATTCCAACTGTAAATTGTATGTGTTGTTTAAATAACTGGGGTTTTGTCATTAACGTGTACAACACTACAGGGTCTATAATTAAACAACTTAATAATCACTTCCACATCACAAACACAACACACAACATTGGATTGAGAACAGACTGATTTCTTTAATTCCCCCACAACCGGATGTGAGTTTACGCGACAAAAAAGTGTCGCTGTCGCGTGACATTTTGGTCAGCCGCAAGACGTGGCGCGACTTGCGAGTGTTGCGGTGCATAAAACCAGCCTTAGAAGTGAAGAGCGACTGATCATTAATTTAACTGCTTCGCTAAGAATCTGAGATATTAGACAGGGACTCGTATCCTAATATTTATCGTGATATTTTAGTGGTTAGTGAATTTGATTGATAAAAAAGATGTCCTGTAGATATGTATGAATTTCCTATCTAATCAAATTTAAAACGCCGATGAGAATAACTTAAATACAAATTTGCGTAATCAAACGCGTCATGTTGTAAATGTTTTGTTGTAAGAATTTATAATCAAATATTTAATTGGAATTGAGAAAGTGCGATATTTTATCAATAAATAAATAAATTGATTTACCACATATCACAATTAAATTTTAATCTATTAAGTATAGTAGAATACATCCACCTAACACTTTGAAACTAGTGAACGAGCTTGAAATAACGACCACACAAAACGCCCAAAGCAAATAAAAACTGCAAAATGTGCTCAGAGAAAAAGAGAAAGTGAAATGACAGAACATGGGGGGTGGCAGAGCGTTCGTTCAGTTCGGGTAAGGGCATTGCCTTCACACAATACCCGACAACCCCTTGGCTACACTATGATTTACAACATCTGTCTGCTATAGGGAAAAAGGCACCAGTTGATGTGTCAGTAATATGAGACATTGGTGCTGTAAAACGGGGTTAAATATTTGGGCGCACATGAAAAGAGCCCAAAAACTCAGGCAGACGCTTGAAAAGCGCCCGGACCTCCAAGGTCCCAACCAGGACGGTGCGAAAAGAGCCCGGTCTCTTTCTAGAACTTTCACAACGGATCTTCAAAGGATAAAGAACCAATAACACAGTTGAATTACATGAAATTATTTACAATATTAAAAGATACACTGTTAAAAGATACATTAATAAAATATATATTATTCAAAGATATTTACATTACTAAAATATATAGTCTGTTTACCTAACCTAACCTAACCTAACCTAATAACCTAACCCAACCTAACCTAACCCAACCAAACACAACACTATTTACTAAAAAACTACTATATATACAAACAATTTATAGTCAGCTTC